GCATAAAAACAAACATACTGATATGAAATGCAGCCAGAATAGAAAATCAAACAAAAATTATAAATAAAAAGATATTAATCCTAAAATCATGCAATTAACTTACATAATCCTAATTTTGATGAACTTAATCAAATCAATAATCAAGCTATTCAAAATTAACTCCTAATTGATAATGCAACACCGAAAATAGAAACACAAGGAATAAGAGAAGAGATATACTAATTTTGGCTAAGAAATGAGCCGACGAACGAAAAAGGCGACGAAGCTCGGCCGGTCAGTGTTGACTTGGCCGGAATTCGGCGACTTTCGAAATGACCCAAAACTGACATTAACCAAGACAAGAACAATTGACCAGTGTAAGTCTTTACTTAAAACTGGTGAATTTGCTCACAAAAATCAAAAAGGGAAATATTTGGGTTTTAGGGTTTCTGAGATTTGAAATTGGTGAATATGGGTGGGGATTTGGGAAATTAATGGTTGGATGAGGTTTAGGAAGGTATGGGGAGTATAGGGTAATGATTTGGGGCATTTTGGAGTGCCGCCGCCGTAGGCGGTTCTCGGCGGGTAGCGGCTGACGGCTGTGAGAGAGACAAGTAAGAGCTAAGGAAGGGGGAAATGGGGTTAGTTCTCTAGGGTTTGGGGGTCTGTTTCAGACATTTTTAAGGAGAGGGGTGGGAGAGTTCATGGCTGTTGGATTGGAGATAATGCAGGGCTGATTACAGGAAATATGGGCTAAACTTGGATTTGGGCTCAGACGGGTTAAATGCTAGGTGGATTTGGGCATTTTTGGGCCAGTGATTTCAAAACTAAAACAAACCCCTTTCTTTTCTTCTTCTCTTTTTTTCTTGATTTTCTTTGATTTTTGATTCTAATTAAATTAATTAAAATCCTAAATTAAGTCCTAAATCAATCTAATTTGTAAAATTAAACTAATTATCTATTTATACTATTTACATAATTAATTAATCTTAAATTAATGAAAGAAAGTTACTAATTTAACACTAAAAGCTAAAAATATAAAAATGATATTATTTTTTGTGATTTTTGTTTTAATAATGCAATCAACTTATGCAATTAGATTCTAAATATAATTAAGACCTACAAATGCTATGTAATGATGATTTTAATATTTTTTGATATTTTTCTACAATTTAAAAAATGCTAAAAATGCGAACAATTAACAAATATTCCTAAAATTCTATAAAAATTAAAATAATTAGAAAATTCCTATTTTGTGAATTATGTCGGAATATTTTAGTCGGCCAAAAATCACGTGCTCTTAGCTATCCCTCTTTGCTCGGAAACACGAAGGGTTTTCAGGCAAAGATAAAATGAGTAGTTACGAGCGATTTTTGCCTGTTTGGATTCTCTATGGGAAGCACTTTGAAAAGGTTTGACCGAAACTTGCTTCGGAGGTTGCCTATATATTCTTGGCTATAAAGGAATCAGGTCAGTGCAGTTTTGGAAATTTTAGAAGTTGGGACTACCAAAAAACTATTATTTCACTGCTATTGCTACTGTTTACTACTTGAAGAGCTCCTTATTACACCATAATCAAAATGAAAGAGACTAACTAAGCCTATTAGCTACGAGTTACAAAATTCCTATCTATGAGTCTGTGATGACCCAAAAGGTCATCACTTGTTTTAGAAATAAATTCTATGTTTCGAAACCTTATAAAACCTCTCTCTACATCCCCTCGATTTGCGTGCACAATCCTTGCGTGTAGCCGGAAAGCCATTATGTGAAAAAAACTGTGAAAAATGATAAAATTTGCCTTTAAAATTAATTTAAGTTGACTTCGGTCAACATTTTAGGTAAACGGATCCGGACCCGTGATTTGACGGTCCCGGAAGGTCCGTAGGAGAATATGGGACTTGGGCGTATGTCCGGAATCAAATTCCGAGGTCCCAAGCCCGAGAAATGAATTTTTAAAGAAAATTATTTTCTGGAATATATATGAGTTTTTGGAAATGGAATATGTTTGGAATTTAATGGTATCAGGACCGTATTTTGGTTTCAGAGACCGGTACAGGTCTTATATGTGATTTAAGCCTAACCTATAAAATTTGGTAGGAAACAGAGGTCAAATTACGTGAATCGGACCCTCGGTTGTGAAATTTGGAACTTAAGTGCTCTTGAGATTTTTCTTTGATTTTGATGTTAAATTCGTTGTTAAAGGTGTTAGTTTAGCGCTTTGATCTCACAAATAAGTTCATATGATGTTTTGAGTTAGTATGCATGTTTGGTTTGGAGCCCCGAGGCCTCGGGTGAGTTTCGGGGTGTTAGACTTAGGAAAAACACAGCTGTTGCATCAGTTCTAGTGTAACCGCACCTGCGAGTCAAGCACCGCAAGTGAACATATAGGGTTGCAGGTGCGGTCCAGCCCTCTCGCAGATGCGATCAAGCTTCTGCAAAAGCGATTTCGTAGGAGCGGATCCCCTATCGGAGGTGCGGCCCCAGCGGGCCTAGTCATTTCCGCAGAAGTGGTCAATTTTCCGCACGTGGGCTTGCGCAGGTGCAACCCAAGCACCACAGGTGCCAGAGTCGGGCAGTGAAGTCTTTTCAAATAAACTTAAGCGTTTTCTCTTTCAAATTTTCACCAATAATAGAAGGCCTAGGGCGATTTTCTCAAGAGATTTTCTTCCCAAATCATAAGTAAGTGTCCACTAACTGATTTCTTTCAACTCTCTAATGTGTTTCATCAACCTTTATCTAAAATCCTATGGTTTTAATGGTAGAAAAATTAGAAATTTGGGTAGAGTTAGGATTTTTTGAATAATTGGAATTTAGACCTTATTTTGGGTTCGGGTTTTGAAAGTAATTACATATTCAAGCTCGTGGGTGAATGGGTGATCGGGTTTTGGTCCGAACCTCGTGTTTTGACCAAGCGGGCCCGGTGTCGATTTTTGACTTTTTGGAGAAAATGATAGAAAACTTATAATTAAGCATTGAGTATGAATTCTTTAGTATTTATTAATGTTGTTCAATTAATTTGGACTAGATACAAGTAATTTGGAGGCGAATTCTAGAGGAAAAGTGATGTTTGAGGCTTGAGTTGGCCGGGAAAGTTTGAGGTAAGTGTTTGGTCTAATCTTAGCTTGAGGGATTAGGAGTCGAGTCCTATTTGCTATGTGTTATTTGTTGACTACAACGTATAGGCATGGTGACGAGTATCTATATGTCGTTGTCAAGCATGCCCGTGAGTCTTAAATTGAAATCGTTGTGTTCTTGATAAGTACTACAAATGCCTAAGTTGTTGATTCTTTGTGTTGGGAAAGAATTATGATTATTCTCGTAGAAATTGCTTATGGTTGAGTATTGGTTTTAGATGAGGTTTCTTTGTAAAGTTAAATGTTGGAACAAGTTTGGTTATAGCTGAATCCCTTGTCGGGACGTATTTACTTCTTAATGTCGATTCCCTTGCCGGGATATTGTTGTTTCCTTATTGCTCCCTTGTTGCGACTCCTTGTTATTGGTGTTGATTTGTATATTGGTATCGGGTTGCATGCCACAACAATATTATATTTGGATCTGGTTGCACGTCACAACAACATTATATTGGATCGGGTTGCATGCCGCAACAATATTATATTTGGATAGGGTTGCACGCCACAACAATATTATATTTGGATAGGGTTGCACGCCACAACAATATTATATTTGGATCGGGTTGTACACCGCAAGAATAAAGGATAAAAGTGGTTATTGTTTTGTCACAATTTCCTTATTCTTTATGCTGCGAGTTTTAAATTGTTCTATATGTTTCCCTCTTGAGTTACTGTTGGTAAATGATATTCCCCCGTACATGTTCCCTCTCCCATCCTTAACTATATATTTCTGCTTTTATTTTCGGCTGTATATGATATAACTGCACAGGTTTATCTGGTAGTCTGGTCCTAGCCTCGTCACTACTTCGTCGGGGTTAGGCTAGGCACCCACTATCACATGGGGTCGGTTGTGCTGATACTACACTCTGCACTATGTGCAGATCCCAGAGCAGCAACTTTTGGACCTTAGCTTGGGTGGCTGCCTTTAGTCCATACGGAGATCCAAGGTAGTCCTGCAGGCGTCCGCAGGCCCTAGCGTCTCCCTCTATCTTTTCTTCCTGTTTCACTTATGTAATTAGGAAACAATTTGCATTTATTTTTCGGGTCTTGTTTGTAGAATTCTTAGACCGTCTGTGGAGTTGTGACACCAGTTCTGGGTAGTCTTTGTTTAAGAAGTTGTATTGGATATATTTATATGGTTTTACTGTTTCTTCCGCTTGATTAAGATTCCACTATTTATAAGCTACTGTTTCATAATTGTTAAAGGATTAAAAATGAGAAAAGGATAATTTGTTCATACAGTTGGCTTGCCTAGCTTTCATTAGTAGGCTCCATCACGACTCCCAAGGGTGGGAAATCCGGGTCGTGACAGAGTCTTTTGAAGCTTGATCTTGAGTCTTGGTTGGTTCTTTCTGTGGACTCTGATCTGAATCTTGATGCTTGTTAGCTGCGAGTACTGGATCACTCTTTCCAGCTTCTCGGATCAAGGCGGGACATGCTGTCACGACCCAATTTACCCACCTCGGGTCCGTGATGGCACCTAACATTGCACCCGCTAGGCAAGCCAACGTTATTGATTATTCAACCTTTTTACCTTTATCTTTAACAATTTACCAAATTAAAGCAAACATACAGCGGAATTAGAAATGTGGAAGAACATAATTTAACAGTTTAGTTAATACCAATACGAAATCC